GGCAGGGTGGAAGGGGTCAATGGGGAAAAAAAGGGGACATCTGTAATTCTTTCAACAATAAAGATAAATTTTTTAAAAAATATTATTTACCAAAGTTTTTAATGACTAGTTTTCAATGATAATAAAGTTAAGTGATAACTAGAGGACATAAAACTTTATATGCATTGTGATCTCAACTATGTTTAAAAAATCTTGGAAAAAAGACAAAGGAAATATACCAAAATAGATAGTTGGATATGAGTGATTATTACTATAGTTATATTCTTTTCTGTACTTTCAAAATGCACTACTAATATGAGCTGTATTACCTTTATAATTCGGACTGAAAACAAACAAGATAACTTCACCTCATGTCGTTTGATACCAAAATGCTAAAAGACTGAGGAAAACACTAGTATAGAACATTAAGCTCAGGAACACCAGAAAAAACGGACTGAGCTCTACTTCCTTTAACGGCTGCCCAGCCCAGCTGCCAGAGGTGGTCTCTAGAAAGACGGTCAGGCAGGGAAAGGCAGGGAGGCTGAGGGATGAACGAGAGTCGCCCCGCTTCAGTCTTTCATTTCAGCCCACTCCACAGTCCCAAGTGCAAGCAGACACGTTACCTTACAAAGTAGCAGATCTTCAGGCACAGCCCTGGGGACTTCTTTGCCAACGCATCCTTATAGGTGGGCCGTGGTTAAGGGAAATGGAGTCTCTGTTACAGAAACCAAACAACTTCTCATCTGTGGAACCAACCCCCTCCCAAAATAAATTTTTTTAAATGAAATGTTTTCTTCTCTCTCTGGCCATGGGCAGAAACCAGCTCGGTGTGTGCCGCTGTGTGCTATTATCACCTAGACGGGTGACATGGTGACCTTCCATCCGGCTCCCACTGAGATGGCTACAGGAGTCCTCTGCAGAAGGAGAGCCAGGGAGTCCACGCGAGGAAGCCCCGGCACAGGGGACCTGGGAGGAGGGAAGCAGCGGCAAAGGACCTCCTGCCCAGGCCCAGGCCCATGCCCATGCCCATGCCCAGGCCCGTGCCCAGGCCCAGGCCCAGGCCCGCAGTCAGGCGCCCAGCCAGTAGACACGTTAAAGAGAGCAGCCCCTTCTTGTCTTTTGAAATGTTTCCAGTAACTGATAAACAGTTTGCGTAGCGAATTAGAGAAGATGGGGAAGGAATAAATGCTCAGGCACACTGTCATGCCAATAAGATGAAAATGATAATACACGCCTAGAGGATGTCAGTGGGTTGACCTTGTAAGCTGTGATGGCAAGTCAGACAGAGCCACGTCAACATCCCATGAGAATGGTGCCATCCTCAGAATATGAAAGAATATCAAGATTCCATCGAGTTCACCTGTTAGAGACCAGTGAGTGTCAACCTTTCTCATCTCATGGCACAAACTAATTACTAAAATTCTGCGACACACGCCAAAAAATATATTTTTTGCCACTCTGACAAAAAAGAAAGGTATAATTTTGATTTATTTACACCAGATGGCTATTGTGTTGGCTTTGTCATTTTTTGACAATCTAAAGGAAAAGAGGTCAGTGCCCCTGACTACATAGTCAGGTGTTGCATATTTTAAACATTCTTGTGGCACCCCGGTTGAAAATCGCTGCCTAGAGCTATACAGAAAGAATATTCACTTAAGAGTAAAAAAACCCCAAATCTGATCCAGTGATGAATCTGGTGGCAGTACCATCTTCTGTACACAGAACGAGCAATGAGGCCATGTGGGCTGTGTGCCCTGCAGGGCTCTGCCCTTTTCTCTTCTAAAAACTTGTGCCACAGTAACTGCAATACCGGTCTCAGTGAATTGCAGCTGGGCCCGAGATGAATCCAGGGAGAAGCTGGCAGAGGTCTCAGCTAGGACAGGAGCAGTCTTTCCTCAGTGGGTGCGCGTATTGTAACACCTGGGAAATTCAGAGTTCAATATAGCAAAGTAAAAGACATTATTGATGTTTTTATTAGGAAGGCATCTGTGCATTTTGAGATTTTATATGCCTGTAAAGTTCAAGAGTATATTAGAATGATAGCCTTGAATCTTCAATTTGGAATATGTAATTAAGTGCTTTAGACTTGTGGTTTTAGATTGAAATCTTATTAAGTTTATGCATCGCTTTGGAACATCTAAGATAATGTTAGCTTTCCTGTTTACAACTTTAATCTACTGAGTTATAAAAACTATTTCAAATTCAGGAAGGCCTCTGAAGTATTTTTTTAAAAAATAATCTAAGATGTAAAATTGATAATTGTCTAAAATCACTGGAAGTATATAATTAGCATGACCCAAATTAACCAAAAATTTTTCAAGGCCCCTTAAAAACGTTTGGTGGAACATGAGAGAATTACAGAAAGGGGAAATTTGCGAGCTAAACTTGAACCCCTAAAGAAAAACTATGGTTGTGAAATTTGTACTTTCAATAAAATAACTTTAATTTTAAAAACATATTTTAATGGATTTACCACTTATAAAATCTGTCCTTGAGGGCACCAAAACAAAAACAAAACCACACCCACATCAACAAATATATTCAAAATAAAAATAAGGCCAGCCAACTGGCAAACTTCATGCAGTAACAGGTTCTGACACGTGTCTTTCTTTGGGCACAAAAGCCAGGAGTGAACATGAGACGACTTACGTATCTTTATGCCACATCGTGAAGAAAATGCACCCCCTGAATGCAAAGAGATTCAAGCATAAGGCACATTTTAGATAAATAGGTCTTAGATTCTATATTTTTATTATTTGACTGAGTTGTTGAAATTTTTATTCTTCCTTTTTAATGAGGAAGGCACAAAAGCCAATCTCTCTTAAAACAACTAAATGGACATAAAACTCGACGTGGTGCCCTCTGTGTGGAGTTTATCTTCCCCTGGGTGGCTTCTTACCCTTCTCCTCACATGTCCCCTCTGGCAGTGCCCGGTGGCTGAGCGAGGGAGCGGGGAGGTGTCCATGCAGAGCCGGCAGGTCTGCGTTCAAGCGGGCACGCAGATGCCAGGCAGGACGGCAGCGCCTCCCGAGGCCATCCGAGCCCCTGCGCACGGCGAAGGCAGCCCGCGGGGGGGAGGGCACCCCCTTTCTCACTAGAGGAGGTGGAAGCCAAGGTCCCAACACAGGCCGGCAGTCAGGGCGTCTGCACAGCTAGCGCTGTCCCCAGGAAGGCCCGGGGCAGTTCTGACTGCGCTTTTCAGGCATATGAACTATTCGAAGCATGTTTTAAAATTCCTTTGTCTCTCTCTCTCTTTTTTTAACAATGGAAAAACAAGAAACCATCTGAGCTTATTTAACTAATAATTCTATTGCTTTCAAGTCAGAACAAGGAAACTAAGTGGGAAGAAAAAATCGTTTTGCCTTCAATGCTTAACCTGGGTTTCGATGACGGGATGTCTAACTTCACGTTCCCTTCTTAGAACCCCTGTCCCCCACCCCAGCCTGGAGCAAAGCCCAGATTTCTCACCTAAAGGTCCTGGCAGATGTAGAAAACATATCCCAATGTTTTGCACCCATAATAATGCAACATTCACTGAGCCCTTCCATGAGATGGCCACCAAGCTAAGTTCTAGAGAAACAAAGATAAATAATAAGCCTGGGGTTCCTGCCCTTGAGGGGACACACAGTCCAGTGAGGGAGACAACTTATAAATAGGTAAGTTACAATATGGGGTGTGTCTACATTTAAAAAACTACATTTTCTTAACTTGTAATTTTATTAATTTTTCAACACCCTTGCAAAATTCTATATTACTAACAGAAACGAAAGCAACTAGACACAAAGTTTTTGAGGTTTCTTTAAAACAGTCATCTATAAATACCAGAGCATGTAGGCATTACATGTCAAACCTTACAGACTGAAGTTTAGGGGGATCGATTCATTTAGCTAACAGAAAAAAACACCACACTTTCTGCAAAGACAGATGAGAAAGCTCCTCAGGCAGATTACATCCAGGCCAGAGACTCAAGAGATATACACTGACCCCTTAGCAATGCAAAACTACAGCCATAGGAATTAAATAGATCTTCAAATCAACAGCATTATTTTTAAACACCAGATGTATTTTTAAAGGGTGGAGGGTGGAAAAGTCAGAAATGACTTCAGGAACTGGGAGAGCATTCGCTACAGTCTGGGGGGCTGAGAAGTTCGGGGGGG